TCAAACAAATCCCATCACACACAAAAAAAAAATCTAAGATCTCCTAAGCTTTCAGTAAAGTAAACCAAACTGAAAGCTAACCTTTCCAGTGAAAATTTCCTAATACTCTCAAAAGGTTTAGGCATCAAAGTAAATTTCCAAAACAAAAGTATGTTTTTCATCTATAATCCCTGTTTTTCCAAATGTTTTCTTCAGGGTGCTTCCCTGAGAGTTTGAGGTGGGTCAGGAGTCCAGTTCCAGCTGAGCCTTTAGTGAACTTTTCAGGTGATCCTTTCACAGCCAGACAGCTCTGAGTGCAGGCATTTGAGAACGGGGAAGTCTTTAAGCAGAATGTGCGCAAATGTTTCCAGGGACACTTTGAAGTGCCGCCTGCTGAGCTGCAAAACTGAAAGCGGGGAGTCATTTCCAGTAAACAGGCTGTAAGAAGTAAACTGTTCCTAGCTACTTAATATATGGTTGTTTAATAGTTTTTCCAAAGCACAGCTGATCATTTATGTGACCCGTCATGACTGTAGGTGATTTTCTCATGTCAAAACTAGGTTTCTGACCGGCCAGAATGCGTTTCTTCTTTCTCCAGAGCACATTAACTCTAAAAACGGTAAAACCCATGGCAAATAAACAGGCTTCACACACTTTACGGCAGATTATTCCTCACTGGAAGCAGAAATAATCGAGAACGCTGCAGCTGGATGAAGAACTTCACGCAGCAAGCTTAAAGAGGATGTCAATGTTCATTGTTTGTGTGAATGACTCTCAGCCACTAACACGTACTGGTAAAAAATGTTATGCTTTCTAAATGAGCGCGAGACCACGGTGTGACAAACATCTCATGTTAGTCGAAGTGGCCAACTCATAACCATGTTAATCTTCGTTCATTCCATCCATCACATTACAGGACGACGCCTAATTTTTACTTAATTAAAGATTGTGTTTTTGGTTTAAACTCACTGAGCTGTGGCAGATCTGTTGTAAATGTACATTCATTGATTACTTTCTGAGTGTTCATGAAAAATGTTGCTAACAAAACAAAAACACACACATGCATAAAGATGTGGGCTAAAACCATCTCCTCTTTTCGCCTTCAGTGCCAGGTGACAATAAATCACTTGCAGTCACTTCTACCAATGCAATGCCAAGTTGTTCAAAATACCAAAACATATTTTGATTTTTGTGCATCCTTGCTCATCGAAAATGCTTCTTAGGCCTCAAAATCTGCTTTACCAATAACCAGCAGAGATGCACCGATCCGATATTAACATATCAAAATTTTCTAGATTGGGTATCAGTGACAATAGTTATGTTTACATGCACAAAATTCTTTGACGGGACTGAAATTCATTCATTCAAGGTTATTTGAGCAAGGACAGCACAATAAACAAAGTTACATGATAAAAACGAAGCAAGCGTTGTTTTGTGCAAAGGTTTTCTAGCCACAGGCTAATTTGCAAACTCAGTCCTTGGTTGGACTTTTATATAAAAACAGCTAAAATAAAAATTTAATTTAGTTAAAATTAAACAGTTCCCTCACACACACACCTGCTCCTCCATCCCCATGGAGCTCAGTGTTCACAGACTTTGTTTTGTTTCAGCCATTTTTTTTATCTGGGTATTAAAAACTCTAAGAACTGTTATAGTTTTTATTGTGGATGGTAAACTGTTCAAAATATGAGGGCCTATAAATGAGAAGGAACTTTGACCAAATGATGTTTTGTATTTTGCAGGTTTGCAGTCTCCATCAACCGCATCTCTTGTTACAACTCCTGAGCTGCTGACTTTTAAAATCATCCTGCTCAACAGCTTTGGGGCAAGACCATTAATGCATTTAAAAGTCAATCTTAAACAAGAAAAAACAATGTCATAGCTTAAGAAATTATATTTCTCCAGTATTTTACAGTGGTGCCACTTCAATTGTTTTTGGTCTAAAACGTTCAGTGCTTGTGAATACAACGTCCTCATAGGTTTTAAAGCAGATTGAGTTGCTTGGCTCCAGACAGTGACACAGTATGAGAAATGAGACAGAATCAAGGCATGTAGGTACAACTGAGCAGATTTTCCACATTAACGTGATCTTATAAGACGAAAAACAATTTATGTTTGTCTTAATAGTTTTAAACAGTTTCCTAACGTGAGCCTCAAAATTAAGGTGGGAATCTAGAATGACATCCAGATATTTAAACTCATCCACTTTTTGGATTTCTTTTTGCTCAGTCACAACTGAAAAGTTACAGACTTTACGCTGGATAGTGAAACACATTGAGACAGTTTTATTGCAGTTCAGAGTCAAACAGTGATTCTTAAACCACTGACACTCCCTTCATCTCCCTTAATTTTCAGATTAAATAAATCAAATGCATCATTTACATGGGCACAATCCGTTCGTGACGAGCGTTTACATGCAGCGGGCTTTTATTCTGAATAGAAGTACTGACATGTGCAGAGTGGTAAACTCTCATTAAGAGGAAGTTCTACTTCCGGGATGATCGTAAACAAACCTGAGCGCCCAAAATGGACCCGCGCCAGGTTTTAATGACGGTGGAGACGTTACTGCACTCACTGACTGAGCTACAGGTGATACAGATCATTTTGAGCTCTTTCAAAGTTTCTAGTAGAAATGTTGTGTCGCTCACCGACCAGTTTTGCTTCCCCGACATGCTAATATTATTAGCATTAGCCAGGTGGAAATGACATAGGTCGCACATGTGCAGTCAGGTCAGTTTTTCACGATCAGAAAAAAAAAAAAAAACAGATTAAGTGTTTACATGCGCACCGTTCAGGTTTGCATAAACCACCTGTCGCATTCTGATAATAAATTATTTCGGATCGAGCTGAAAAAACAAAAAATAATCCAAATGGGGCGTTAACATGACGCATTTTTATTCCGAATGGCTTTTTAATCCGATTACGTATGTCCATGTAAACATAGCTATTGTGACCGATCCATAAGGACAGGAGCTGATTGCAGTTTATTTTAAATATCTGATAACCAACTTAGTGAACCATTGTTTTTTTCCTCTTATTTCAGCTCGTTTATTATTTATTTTACATTATATTTAGAATTCCTGAACTATTTGAAAGGGTTGCTGAAGTTTATTTTTTCATGTTTAACCGAAGCTGTGTTGTTGTCAGTTTCAGTATCTTTATTATTATTTATTTTACATTGGGTGTTATACTCATAATTGCACTGACTGAACAAATTAAAGTTGTGTTGTTTTTACATGTCTGACATGTGAAGCTATTTGTGTTGAAGTGTGCTGTACTGGTGTAGAGTTTTCAATAAATTTGTAATTCAGTACATTTCCGTCTGCGTTTAAAAAAATAAAACGTTTCAAGTTCATTCTGCACAGTTTTTCCTGCATCAGATCGGTATCGGATCTGTATCAACCGATACAAAACCTCAAGTATCGTATCGGAAGTGAAAAAAGTGGATTAGTGCATCCCTCATAACCAGTCAACATATTTTAGATTAAATAACTAACAGCTCAAACTGTGATTTACTTACACAGCAAACTAGAGAACGTATAAAATTTATCACCATCTTATAAAAGTGACAACTAGTTTCTACATTTTCCTAAATATTCTTCAGTTTCAGTTACCGGCAAAGTTAGACAGCAATGCATGAGCGTGTGTTTGGGGTGTAATGATCCCGTCTGTTTGCTGCTTCTGGCTCTCAGAGCAGGAAGCAGAAACACCTGCGTCACTGTTTGTCAACCTGTGTGCAAGAGGAAAACTAACTGAGGTGGCTGCTGTTTCCGTGCCAGCCGTCCGGATGCTTTCTCTGCACATTTTTCATTCCTTCATGCGTCCCCTCCGCCCCCATCCTCTGCCAGTGTGTGCGTAAAGATGCATTACGGAGCTTTAGGTGCCAAAAGTCCCATCACAACCAGGGACAGGACGCACAGGTCCAAACAGACGACGAGTGTGGAAACTTTTCCAAAGTCACTGCACACTGAGGGCAATATTCAGTGATGGAAGTTAAAACGAACAATCAAAACGTTTCTACATAGTCTAAATGCACAAGTTCAATCCAAATAAAGAGTTAAGATGTGTATTTGCATATATATACATATAAACATTTTAAATACAATGTAAGCATCTCAAATGTTGAAACTAAGAAATTGTATCTTTTGGGGAAAAAATTAAAATAAATTTATTTTATAGCAACAACACATCTCAAAGTTGGGTCATCCAACTAACCTATTGCCAATCAATCAATCAATCATTCAATTAATACATCCATCATCTTTACCCCTTCTTCGTTTTCGTGTCACTGGTAACCATATCCAGCATTCACCATGCGAGGGGCGGGGGACACCCTGGATAGGTCTCCAGTCCATCATAGGGACACACAGAGACCCAATTAATTTAATTAATTGAAAAATGCTTCTCCAGCTGATTCTAATTTGTATTAAGTACTTTTACAAACTTTTGTTGCCTCTGTCCCAGCTTTTTGATGAAGTATTGCTGCCTTAAAATTCAAAATTCTCTTATTTTGCCAAAGATGACACAATGTCTTAGTTTAAACATTTGGTACGTTGACCATGTTCCATTATGAATATAAACTGGTGTTATGAAATTTGCAAATATTTGCATCTTGTTTTTATTTATATTTTAGACAACTGGTAAATGGACTTTACTTAGATAGCGCCTTTCTATCTTATCAAGACAATCAAAGCACTTTACAGTACAATCTGTGCCTCACCCATTCATACAGCACTCTACTAGATCTCTACAAAGCTAATTGAACAAATAATTCTAAAGAGTCTAATTAGAGCTTTATCACATTCTTACACCAATGGGACACACGTGGGAGACAATGTTTCTTGCCCAGGGACACTTCGGTATGCGACTGCTGGTGGATTCGAACCCCCAACTCTTGCATTGGAGGACAACTGCGGTAACCACTCAGCCACAGCCTCCACAACATCCCAAGTTTATTGGAAGTGGGTTTGTAGAGGCATGATCAAAGCAGGGGGTGCTGAAGATGACATTTAAAGACTTACTTGTTGCAGTCGTTGAAGAGCTCCTTACACGGACTCTGCTCCAATCTCTCCCGGCACCGAGCAATAACATCCTGGGGAATGTCGGGCAGATGGGCCGCTGACTTCAAGGTTAAACAGACCATAAAAAAGTGTGAGACAAGCAGGGGAAAAATAAATAAGACAAAAGCAGAGTAAGATGTTTAATGTTAAAATTAAAAAAGCTGAAGATTTTAACAAACAAGTCCGTAATGGAAAATATACAATGTTTCAGGCCTGTTTTTCACCATTCTTGAGTGGTTTTGGCCTCTAATGCAGAACTCATTCAAGTCTGACAAGTCTGAACATTCCATCATGTCATTATTTATTTAAAGAATAAGCCAAAATGCAGAAAGGGTGCAAGAAATACTCAGGACCAATTTTAGTAACGGTTATTAACGTCAATGTCCCCCGACACTGAAGATTTTTAACAGTGAATGTTTTTAGTTTTTGAAATGAGTGTTGTTCTGGACTGGAATTGAACATGGAATGCAAGTAAATCTTAATGTTTTAAGTGTAAGATTTTCAAGTGAGTGGGAGTTAAACTGTGTAGAAGAACAGAGGTAGGTTATGGTTTTTCTTGTCCGAGGCGGTGCTGAGTGACGGACACCAGACTGATCTTCAGCCCGCCCACTCATTTGAAGAAACTGTACTTTTAAGCAATATAAAAACTAAAAAGCATAGTTTCCTCAAATGATAAGTGTAGTCTGTTTACATATGATGGTGGCCATCTTGGATTTTGACGTGGCAATGCAATTTTTGAAAGGAACCTTTTTTATGCCTAGATGCAGCCAGACACAAAAAAGGAAGTAGGTATCTCACTTATTTTCCAAGTTATCATACTCACAATGTTCACTCATGGACGGAGAATATTTTCAATTCCCCATTTTCGCTTTGCAACGTGGGCCCAATATATATATATATATATATACATATATATATATATATGTGTATGTATATATATATATAT